GGGGGAAAAATGGGAATTTTGGGGAGGAAAATGGGAATTTCTGGGGAAATGGGGAATTTTTATGGGAAAAACGGGAATTTTGGAGGAAAAATGGGAATTTTGGGGGAAAAATGGGAATTTTGGGAATAAAAATGGGAATTTTGGGGGGAAATGGGAATTTTGGGGGGAAAAATGGAATTTTGGGGGGGAAATGGGAATTTTGGGGGGAAATGGGAATTTTGGGTGGGAAAATGGGAATTTTGGGGTGGGGTTCGGTGTTTGCAGTCCTGGGAATTCCCAGAATTCCTGGAATTCCCATTTTTTTCCGGAAAATCCCAGCTCCAAACCTTTCCCTAATTCTGGGAATTCCAAACCCTTCTGGAAATCCTGGAATTCCCAGGAATTCCTTGGAAAATTCCGGCTCCAAATCCTTCCCAAACTCCGGGAATTCCAAACCCTTCTGGAAATCTGGGAATTCCTGGAATTCCCATTTTTTTCCGGAAAATTCCAGCTCCAAATCCTTCCCAAACTCCGGGAATTCCAAACCCTTCTGGAAATCTGGGAATTCCTGGAATTCCCATTTTTTTCCGGAAAATTCCAGCTCCAAATCCTTCCCAAACTCCGGGAATTCCAAACCCTTCTGGAAATCTGGGAATTCCTGGAATTCCCATTTTTTTCCGGAAAATTCCAGCTCCAAATCCTTCCCAAACTCCGGGAATTCCAAACCCTTCTGGAAATCTGGGAATTCCCAGAAATCCCAGGAAAATTCCAGCTCCAAATCCTTCCCAAACTCCGGGAATTCCAAACCCTTCTGGAAATCTGGGAATTCCTGGAATTCCTTGGAAAATTCCGGCTCCAAACCTTTCCCAAACTCTGGGAATTCCAAACCTTTCTGGAAATCTGGGAATTCCTGGAATTCCTTGGAAAATCCCAGCTCCAAATCCTTCCCAAAATCTGGGAATTCCTGGAATTCCTTGGAAAATTCCAGCTCCAAACCTTTCCCAAACTCTGGGAATTCCAAACCCTTCTGGAAATCCGGGAATTCCTGGAATTCCCAGGAAAATTCCGGCTCCAAACCTTTCCCAAACTCTGGGAATTCCGAGAGTTCCCAGGAAAATTCCAGCTCCAAACCTTTCCCAAGCCCTGGGAATTCCAAACCCTTCTGAAAACCTGGGAATTCCTGGAATTCCCAGGAAAATCCCAGCTCCAAACTCTTCCCAAACTCCGGGAATTCCAAACCCTTCCGGAAATCTGGGAATTCCTTGGAAAATCCCCGCTCCAAACCCTTCCAGAACTTCAGGAATTCCCCGAATTCCCGGGAAATTTCCATCTCCAAGCCCTTTCCCGAACTCCAGGAATTTTTAGGATTCAATCCCGGATTTTTTTTCCCCCCGGAATTGCCAGAACACCACGAGTGGCTGCTGAGCTCCGAGGTTGACGCGCTCCCGTTCCTGCTGCTGCCGCTCGCCGGGCCCCGGGAATTGTCTCCGGAAGAGACGGAACGTGAGCGGAAAATCGGGATTGGGGGAATTTTCACGGATTTTTTGAGTTTTTTTGGGATTTTTTGGGAATTTTCCAGGATTTTTTGAGGTTTTTTGGGAATTTTCCCGGATTTTTTGAGGTTTTTTGGGAATTTTGGGGGAATTTTCCTGCATTTCTTGAGGTTTTTTGGGATTTTTTGGGAATTTTCCCGGATTTTTTTGAGGATTTTTGGGAATTTTGGGGGAATTTTCCCAGATTTCTTGAGGTTTTTTGGGAATTTTGGGGGAATTTTCCTGGATTTCTTGAGGTTTTTTTGGGATTTTTTGGGGAACTTTCCTGGATTTCTTGAGGTTTTTTGGGATTTTTTTGGAATTTTCCTGGATTTTTTGAGGTTTTTGGGAATTTTTTTGGAATTTTCCCGGATTTCTTGAGGTTTTTTGGGAATTTTTGGGGAATTTTCCCGGATTTTTTGAGGTTTTTGGGAATTTTTTTGGAATTTTTGGGGAATTTTCCCGGATTTCTTGAGGTTTTTGGGAATTTTTTGGGAATTTTCTGGGATTTCTTGAGTTTTTTTGGGATTTTTTGGGGAATTTTCCTGGATTTTTTGAGTTTTTTGGGAATTTTCTCAGATTTTTTGAGTTTTTTGGGAATTTTTTGGGAATTTTCCCGGATTTTTTGAGGTTTTTGGGAATTTTTTTTGGAATTTTTTGGGAATTTTCCCAGATTTCTTGAGGTTTTTTGGGAATTTTTTGGGAATGTTTTGGGAATTTTCCCGGATTTCTTGAGGTTTTTTGGGATTTTTTGGGGAATTTTCTTGGATTTCTTGAGGTTTTTTGGGATTTTTTGGGGAATTTTCTTGGATTTCTTGAGGTTTTTTGGGATTTTTTGGGGAATTTTCTTGGATTTCTTGAGGTTTTTTGGGATTTTTTGGGGAATTTTCTTGGATTTCTTGAGGTTTTTTGGGAATTTTTTGGG